ATGGATGATAAGGAAACCTGGTGGTGGAATATTGAGGTGCAGGACGCCGTTCAAAGAAAGAGATTAGCCAAGAAGAAAAATGGCAGTGAGAGAATTGAAGAGAGGAGACAAGAATATAAGGAGACAGGATGTAGAGCAAAGAGGGAGGTAGCTAAGCTAAGACAAACAGAAGGCGTATGATGAGTGGTATGGCAGGCTGGATACTAAAGAGGGCAAGATGGACTTGTACTGATTGACATGACAAATGGATCAGGCTAGAAAAGATGTGCAGCAGGTTAGGCTTGTTAAAGATAGGAATGGTACAACAAATAAGGAGAGTGCGACAGGAAAATGAAGGAGTACTTTGAGGAGCTAATGAATGAAGAGAATGAAAGAGAAAGAAGAGTAGAGGTCATAGAAACTGTGGATCAGGAAGTGGGAAAGATTAGTGAAGGTGAAGTCTGGATAGCTCTGAAAAGAATGAAGAAGGGGAAGCAGTAGGACCTGATGACATACCAATAGAGGTTTGAAAATGTCTTGGAGAGATGGCAGTGAAGTTTTTGACCCAAATATTCAATGGCATATTTGAGGGTGAGAAAATGCCTGAGGAATGGAGAAGTGTGCTGGTGCCCATTTTAAAGAACAACAGTGATGTACAGAGTTGTAGCAACTACAGTGGAATTAAGCCACACAATGAAGATCCGGGAGAGAGTTGTGGAAGCAAGACTTGAGGTCCCAGTATACTCGGGCGGACCTTTTTCTGTGTGGACTCGATGTGCACTGTCCGCAGAGGGATGAGACTTAATACTCAAGCATCCACCCTGAGCGACTGCAGACCAGCTCCACAGGCAAGGGGTGTTTATCTTCAGGACAAATTGAGGTTGCCAATTGGTCATTTGCTGACACGCCTACTGGATTGATTGAAATGTTGCAAAACAAACAAACAAACAAAAAAACCAAGAGCTGGCAACCCCAGCTGCAGCATTGTTCTGTGTTAATATGTTGTTAATAAAAAGTTCTAAAAAAAACAAAAAACAGGGAGCGCTGGCCCTGCAACCCACACATCTGACCGGCCCACCAGGAAATCTCCAGACTCTCCCGCAGCCACGCTGGACCTGATTTTGATTTGCTTGAGACAAATTTCTTCATTTCTCACCATTTCAGTCATGGTGTATATGGAGGAGGAGGAAGAGATCTCTTGCCTCTTGGCAAAAAAACTAAAGAAAAGGCCATTAAACCAGATCAGGGATGAAGAAGGGGAATTTAATACAATGGTGTCACGTACAAAACAGTCCATCGCCAGGCAATTTATTGTGCAACACAGCATACACGTACGTGGCCGTAAAAATTGAGCTTTGCATGAACATGCCCTGCGGGTGTCCACTTTGACTCTAATCCGGTACGCGCAGACCTCCGTGGACTGACGTACGCCTGAGTATACTGGGGGCTTTAGATGAGAGATGAGACAGAGACACTGACAAAAAGACAGGAGAAATAACTGGAAGTGGCAGAAATGAAGATGTTGAGGTTCTCCTTAGGAGTGACAAGGATGGATAAGATTAGGAATGAGATCATCAGAGGTACAGCCCAGGTAGAGCAACTGGGAGATAAAGTTAGAGAGGACAGACTGAGATGGTTTGGACATGTCCAGAAGAGGGACGGGGGTAACTGGGTATAATGGTAGAAGGATGTTTGAAATGCAGCTGCCAGGAAAAGGACTAAGAAGAGATATATGGATGCAGTTAGAGAGGACATGAAGGTAGTTGGAGTGAGGAGAGAGGATGCAGAGGAGAGATGGAGGAGGTTGACTCGCTGTGGTGACCCCTGAAGAGGGAAAAGCCAAAAGTAGAAGTGTTTAATGTATATCTTAGATTTATTGGCGTGCCGTTTTACATTTGTTTGGTGTATATCTTAGTGTATTTCTTAGATCCTTATATACTATTTCTTTTTACACTATATATTGCTTTTGTTGGATGTAACTGGGATCATGTGTACATAATTGTGTTCCACCTCATGTACCACATGTGATGCAAATGACAATAAAAATTGACTTGAACTTGAATAAAGAGGTGTCATGGATGGCTGTGGTGCTAAAGTGTTGACTGCAGAGGTCAGTATACTTTTAGCCTCCACTGATTATCTTCAGTCCGGTCTACAAGTTATAGCTACAACTTGTCTTTCTGGTGCAGTCAGGGTGGAATTATGTTTAAAGGGCAGGTTCACGGTCTTCTAAATGGTATTTTATAGAAAATAACAGCTCTGCTGCAGCCAAGTCCTTGCCTTTTAAATGGGAATGAATGGATTAAAAGTTGATCAGTAAAATATTCTGAAGCATATTTGATGTAGTGGTCATTTGATAAACACACCGGGACTCTGAGTAGCAGAATACAAAATTAATTGAATCAAATGGCTGAATTATAATCATTAGGGGTTATTTTTAAAACTCTGTTTTCAAAATGGCCCCCTTTGAGAAACATGTGTGCTGCAAAGGATGTTTGAAATATGGTATTATAACTAAGAGGCACAGATTTCAACAAAATGTGTTTGAATATTAAAGTAAAGAGCCATTTATTTAGACACATTGGATACAATAAATTACGAGACAACATTTCAGAAGACAAGTTAAACAGTCATTGTAGAAATTAAGACCCTTTAAAGAAATCAGACTTGTTTTACTTCATTATTAATAATCAAGAAGATAAAGTATGCCAAGTTCTGTGTCAAGTTTTCCTTTAATGTGAGTCTTTGGCGCAGCGTTTTTTGGCATCCAGGTTTTTGTTTGCTGGGTCATATTTGTTCTGAGCGAGGCACTGAGACACTGCACGGTCACACTCACACACAGCCGCCCGACACTTCTCGTTGGCCTCTGCAAACAGAATACAAGCTCATCAGGGTTATAGAAAACAGGAAAATGAAGTTTTAAATCTAAAATCAATACTTAATAAACGCATGGCAAAAGCTGGAGAAACTACTAAGATATCAGCAGTTCATGCTCAATAATCCAGGGATAAATCCAATAATGATCAGTCAGGTAATCTGGATAGTTTTTGTTTTAGCTGAGACGTTTCGTCCTTCATCGGAAGGACTTCTTTACTACAAAGTACTCAGATGTTTACATTTTGTCCAAATATCCACAGTAAAATGACATCCTTACCTGAGCATGTCACCTGTTTATCAGAACAGCTGTATTTATAAACAAGAATGTAGGGACTGTATATTATTGAATTACATTCTGGAGTCATTCGGCTTTTTTCATAGCAATTATCATGAGTTTGACAGCACCTGAGAATGCAGAAGGAAAAAAGAGAAACATTTTAGGCTACAGTGTCTTTTGTTGAAATACATGAATAAATATTCTTGTTTCTTACTTGTCCACTTCATCCACTGGAGTTCCCCCTCCTCCGAAGCCACAATAGCAGCCGTAATCACTGTATTTCAATGGATCAACATCTGGCTGAGTACAAACAATCATTGTTGCAAGCTGCCAAAG